TGGTTACTTCTCAATGACATCTGATCGTTATGTCCCTAAAAAACATCATCTGTCTCCTGCAAAATGCCGTGTACTGTGACACCTGCCATAGGGCCAGTCACTGAATGTTGATAGTTTGTCCGAGTGAGTGGAGGGGGGCGTGGCTTAGCTATAGGTCAATTGGGCTTTTGGGTTTAATCCATTCTGTGTTTCCTGAGCTGCAACACACTTAATAGTTTGAGGGTGCAAAAAATGCAGCATGTGTACGGCCCCAAGAGGCATAAGAGTAGCACCTAATGCCAGGACCCTAAGTCTTCTTCTTCTGGGGCTCAAACTATTTCAAAGGTATATAATACATTTGGTGTCTGAGTAACACTGTAGTTAAGTGTATCTCTGTTAAAATAGTTATAATTGAATGAAAGGGACATCAATGTCACAGCTGATTATAAACTTTTAGTGCACACAGAGAACAAGCGTAACATTACTGGAATAAATGGACACAGGTGTGTGTAACAAACATCTGTCATCAGAATAATTTACCTCCTTGTGAGACTTTTTTTCTGCATACTTCCAACTGTGAGCTTCATCGTGTCAGTGCTCTTACACTCCACCAGCTCTGTGACTTTCAGCAACATGAGGTTCCACTCTTGAACACCAGGAGCCTGATACAACACAGCACACACACACACAGAGCAGTAAAATTAAGACTTTATCCAGCTGCTAATGGGTTAATGTCATTATAGAGAACATAAGAACAAGCAGGCTGTTGATCTCACCAGGTCTGAGATGGTTATATGTAGCAACTTCATATCATCAGCAACTGTTTGTTCAAAATCAGGACTCCAGCACCTCCTCAGTTTGCTCTGGCTGCTTTGGATTAGATGTTTCAGGTAACTGTGAGTGATGAGCTTGTAGACGCCGTCCATCACTCTCTGAGAGACACAAAGTTGGAGACAGACACTGTTTAGTTTTTGTTAAGAAAGACAACAGCATGTAGACACAAAGATGTCTGAAAAATGGCTGCAATGAATGCTTTTTGTGACGTACCTTTTGTATGTCCTGAAAGCAGGAAAACTCGGAGAAATGATTCCTTACTTCGTCAATCAAGAGGAAGAATTCCTTGTTCTCCGATTTGAAGTATTTCTTCAGGTGGCTCTGTGACAAAACATCAAAGTTAGTTTCATGTTTCTCAACAGAAATATATGGCTCCTTAGAAATGTAAGAAAACAGCTTATTTGTGATTATGTTGAACAGTTACCTCTGTGATGTCAGCTACGATTTCCATCACAAGTTTCACTGTGGAATCCTCCAGGTTTTCAAGCACTGCCACAGCTTCCTCAAGAAGGGTGCCTTTATTTTGGACTTGCAGCCTGAGAGGAAATATCATGAATATAATGTAGATATACTCAACGTTTATCATCATCATAATCATATTTGTTTTTTCTTACAAAACATCAAGCCTTTTAACCTACATACATCCTGTGTAATCATGTGCTTTAACAGTATTTCTATCATACATTGGCCGTTTCAACAGTGTGTTTGATTTTACACCTTGTCTTTAAGAAACAGTAACAAGTTTAAGTTGAACTAAATTCATATCTAGCAAAGAGACACAAGTGCTCAGTTACTCACTTGAGATTTTTACAGTTGTTCAAAGTCTGGAAGAAGCATTTCATCTCTGGGTTGTCCATTTTTGCCATTTCCCCAAGCCTCTCAGTCTGCGTAGCAGAGTAGCTACAAACCAAAGAAAACATGCCGTGTTCAACATGCAAAGTTCCGACTTTAGATGGTGATGTTAATGTTCATAAAGTCTGGATGTAAATCTGTTTAGATAATCTCACCTCTTCAGAAACATAAGCAGCGCTTGGAAACAAACCTCCCGCACACGGTCAGACAGTTTGGGGCTGATTTTTTGTGCTTCTTTGGGTATAGCCTCGATGCACTTAGAGAGAAACAAAAAAGAAATAATATTATTATGCAGCAAATAAACAGACCAATAAATAAAGAAAAGTAAAGCAAATAAATATTCAGTGTTTCTTTAACATATGCACACAGACACAAACACAAATCCTTCGTCATGGCTTCCTCTCACAGTAACAACAGACACTCCTTTAAATTCTGCTGCCCTACGTACCATAATAGTGTCCAGATGAAGTTCGTCGTCGGCTTCGTTTCCTCTCTTTATCTGCAGGATGATCTCCAGCTGACCTCTAACCTCTGTCTGTGGACCCAAAAAGAGACAAAAATACATTAGAAAAATACAGGTTGGTCACTATAACATAACATCTTAGTGTTTACTTGGTCAGATGCTGACATATGTGGCTTTTTTTGGTCACAGTCATTGTCATTTATCTGTTTTCTGGTTTTATAATGTCCTTCATGTTGAGGTCCATTAGACACACACCTGTTACCAAGGAACAGTGTCACCACAGAGATATGTTGTGCTCCTGGGAATAAATCTGTTCCCATGACTCCATTACACAAAGGCACATAATAAATATGTCAAGAAAGGGGTAGAGGACTGAATTAATGTGTAGTATCTGTTCACATGATGAAGGTTTTGAATTGT